AAACGAGATTATTATTCTTACACAATCAGTTTTTGTTTAGAAAATCAGTCTCAAAACAAGATCAAGAAGATTTTTTTGCTGGATATAAGATTTTAAAATTTGGCTTGGTGGACATTTTTTGCAGTGTACACTATACTTGGCTTGTACTAAAAGTATACTAAAAGTTTAAGTATACTTAGTCTATAATGATTAAACTTTTGGCCAAGATAAATTTTAGTAGTACACTGAAAGTACGTTTTCACACAGACTGGTTAATTTGTAGTATATTTCAAGATTAAACTAAGAGTATACTTCGAAGATTACTTTCAATACTCCTGAGTGTACTTTCTTAAACTTATTGTGGGCAAATTAAGTCCTAGAAGTACACTTGTTGGTAAACTGCTAGTATACTTAGCTATATCAGTGTACATGGAAAAGTTCACTTAGGGAAACACACTTTTATGTACTTTAGTATTCTCAATGCCATGTACTTAAAGTATAGTTCTTTTTGGTAAGTTTATAAACCTAAAAATACATTATAACAGTATACCTTTTATAAACAAAATGTCCCAATTTAGTACGAACAAGTATTAAATCAGTATACTTTCTAGTACACAAGTACATGGTGCCTTGCATACTTGAAATACTTAAACTTATACTTAAGTATACTCATTAAAATGAACTTCAATTATACTACTTTTTGCTAAGGGATATACATTTTTGATTTGACCAAAAGTCTCCACAGTCAGTCTACAACCTTCAAAACGCAAAGCAATGGACTTTTCATGATTTGTTGTGAGTCGTTATGTTCGACAGATGAAATCACACAACCCCTTTTTCTTTTTAGCTGCCTTTGCAGGCCTGCTGTACCTGCGTGAGCTTGATTTGTCCAGCAACAGCCTCCATTACTTCCCATATGGCGTCCTGGAGGACCTGTACTTCTTGCGGAAGCTGCTGCTGGGGAACAACCCGTGGATCTGCGACTACAACATCCACTACCTGGTCTACTGGCTCAAGCACCACCCCGACGTGCGCTACACCGGCCTGATCTGCGCCGAGCCGCGCGAGTTTAGGGGCTGGCGGGTCGAGGACTACGTCAAAACCTACAACGGGGAGTGTCCCGTGGATAAGTACCCGGAGGAGAACGACACTGGACAGGGGACGCAAGGGGGGTCGGCGAACGAGGCGCAGGAGGTGACCGGGGAGATAACTGAGGGGGGGCCTCTTCCACAGCACCTGAAAGAGAAGGAGCCCAACACGTTTGAGATCATCAGGCTGAGTTAGAATGCATCACCTGAAAGGGTAGCTAATGATTTGCYATGAATTTACATTTTTAAAACCCAAAAACACAACGATTCCAGCTTGCTTATGTGTTTAAAAGATTAATATTTTCCTCAAAGTTGATTTGTTGCGATGTCACCTTGTTTAATTTACATTTACTGGGAGAGTCTTGTCATTTTTGATGTCGTTCTGTCAAAAAAAAGTTGTTAAATATGATATTGTTTGCTTGTTTTCTGGAAATAAAATTTGTTTTATTTTTTCTGAATGAATATTTGACAGAAATTTGGAGGTGTGCGTATTATAATCAGTGGTGGACAGTAACAAAGTACTTTTACTTTATTACTGTAATTAAGTACATTTTTTGAGTATCTTTACTTTACTTGAGTAGTTATTTATTTGGGAAC